CGAAGTTCTTGCATTTGCCCACCAGTGCCCAGTAATATACCAAGATGAACACACAGCGTTCTTATGTACGTGCCTGCCTCACATTTTGTCTATAATTCCATAAAAATATATTTTACTCAAAGTCACAGTTAATTTGTCACAATACTACAATTTATCGTATGCTGTCCAAATCCAAATCGATTCATCATTTTCATTTGAACACAAACACACAAAACATCCATAATGAATAAAATTATTTCTCAACGGAAAACATGAAGAACACACAAAAACTGACCCAAATGATGCCCATATTCCGTTCTGGTGAGTATTCGATGAGTTTATTTTCGTAGACAGTACGAATACGGAGTTGACGTTTGACGGCTGATATGAGAGGAGGTCGTTGAAACAATGCACCAGTCAACTTCTCCAGAGTCTGCTTGATCTTTTTGGTTGAGTCAATTTTATTATGCAATTTGAAGATGCATACGTACTCTTTGCCAGCGCTCTGCTGTGACTTCGCCAATCGCGTTGCACGATCGATTAATACAATCAAGCATCCNGATACCTGAATTTAGTCAACTGTATTCGTTAACGCGAATTAAGCTCTGATTGTGGAATAAACCATTCTCGAACATCACTATCTTCCTGCATCCACGGTTTTAAATCCCGATTTTAAATAACATTTCAAATAAACAATTAACTGCCTAGTATTAAGATTCGATGCATAGTAAATGCTACTTCATGACTTTGTGTTCGTCAGCGAATAAATTTGATTGGTAGCGATTTTAAATGAGATTTACACGGAGTTAATCGTACACATCAAATGCTCAATAATGTCATTTGAAAGTGGATTATAAAAGTGTCATGAACCTCGCTACCGTGAAAGTGGAATTTTGAAATGTACCAGCTACAATTCTTCATGCCTCAGATCAATTCAGAAAAATGTAATTGACAGATTGAGTTTTCGATGTTTTGTTGTGATTCTTTTCAACAAATGAGCATTTGAAATTCTTGAGAACTGATATACTTCCACAACGCAAATTGGGGTTTCTAGCGCGATAAAAGCAAACTATTTCGACAAGAACAACGGGCCGAGAACAAAGAGCCGACCTTAGGATCGAGAGTGCCGCTATGTCCTGTCTTCTGAACTCTGAGAATACGTTTCACCCACGCAACAACTTCATGACTGGACGGATTTGCTGGCTTATCCAAATTAAAGAAACCACACGATATGTAATCCTTGATACTGCGTTGGAGTGGTGAACAGCTTTGTGGCAATGGTGTGTAGTGGTTTGTTCGAGTGTTCAACTTATCGATATTCTGNATCACTTTATTGCCAGTCACTCCTTGCTACTGAATGTTTCAACATCGTGCTTACATAAGGAATTTAATTAAACTGAATCGAAGAGTCTTTTAAACATCATTATTTCAGCAGTAGTGATGCTTATTTTTTTTACTCTATTCGTAATCAAATTGAAAAAAAAAGATAATTTAAATGCAACCAACTTCAGCTTCAGTATTCTTCGATGTTTTGTCCTTCTTACCCATTCTGCCTATCTGTAAACTGTGTTTTCTTTAGAATATTCGATCGGAGCATAGAATGTTGATAATATTCTAGTCAGTTATTGAAATAACGGAATTAATCACAACATACATAAATATTACGGCAATGTAAATTTAAAAAACTCAAACAAAAATGGCAGAACTTCTTTTGTCTAATCTCTTCAACTGACGGAATACTTATGACTCTTCCATAGAACAGATAACAATCAGAAGCCATAACATTTCGATAGATCAACACAATTAAATGCATTAAGTCAACATTGCAAAACACCTAATAGATTGTGAAAAAGTGATTTTTCTGTGTCATTTTCCGAAATAATCGGAGAACAGAACATCTTCGTCCCATTTCCAGTATTTTCCTGAACATTTTTCTACTTCATTTCGACGAAAAAAAAACATTTCTCGACCAAATCTTCAAATCTTCAATGGCGGAAAG